TGCATGTAATTTGTGCTATATTGACGCGCTATATTTCTGGTTATTTGCAAATATAATCAAACCAATCTATGTATGAAGTATGAAATACCCAGTTTTTGGATCTTGGATTAGGCATCAAATAAGCTATATTTCGTACTTGAAAGAGCTTGAGGAAGGTAATTATTTATTTTTCATATCCATGATTCATTCACATTCATAAGGCGAAGTACATAAAATTTTTCAATGTGTCGAGAACAGAGCTCGGTATACCAAGTGTCATAATATAAGTGATTATTTTTTTTTTAATTTCAACTAATTATATTATTACATTTGATGTATCAAGCTGTGTTCCCAACACACTAAAAATCTCTCGCAAAATCCGTAAAAGTCACCGGCCAGTAAGAAAAAAAAAGAAAGCAAAAGGTGACCATGATATGATATCAGTGAAGTCCAAGATTCTTTAAACTTGGATTTTTTTGTAGTTAACATTATTTTTCATCTTGTAATTCGAAGTTTATTATGCCCATCCATTCATGATCATTTTAACTTTTATTAGAAAGTACTGACTCGGTGGATTCTTTGGAAGCTTTGTAATTCAAGCAAATCAGAATTACTAGCATTCCACCGCATGCATGTTTTTATTTATTATACTTTTGTTGACCACTACAAATTACAAAGCTTACTAGCGCGTAAACCAAGTAATTATTAAGCTAATCACGTCATTCTTGTGGATGTGAGTGTGCTAACTCATGACCGAGCTCGGTCGGTGAGTAGAATAGATATAATGGTGATATCGAATGCGTTGTTGAGTTATGCACCTGAGCGACTACGGCTGAGAAAAAAACACCTCTCGACCTAGGGTTCTGCTAACCTTAAGACAAGGTTACTTTTCATTGTGAAGTTCGATAAATGACCCAGAACAAAGTGAATTGGTAGCACCTTACTTCATTGGGAAGCTAATGAAGTAACCTTAAAAAAGCGAAAGAATTAAGAACTCTTCGTCGGCCGAGACTTGGATAGATAACTAACAAGAAGCAGTCTTGTTTACTTATCCAAACCGAAGGTGCATGCTCTTGAATCGTCTGGTTCTACGGCTCCAGTATTGTTTACTTATCCAAACTGAAGATGCATTGACATGAAGGTTACGATAGTTAGTATTTTTCTTAGGGTTGTGAGAAGGTTTTCGCATAGAGCAAGGATTTTCGTGTAGAGTTTTTGAGTTGTTTGTTGAGTTGAAAGGGCCTTCGATGTTGCAAGCTCGCGTATTTATAAGGGTGAATTTCGTGATGGCAAGTTTGCTGAGTTGTAAAATGCTTATAATATTCAAGTTCGTCAGTATATTCTCTTAATATACTCAGAATTATTCTAGGCCGATATTCTATCGCCACCAAGTTTTGTCGTCTTCTACTAGGACTCTGAAGTCTAAACCTAGAGTGATTATGCAATTGATTCAACCTTTATCTGGAAACTAATATTGATACTTAATATTTCTCTCATCTAACATCTTAAAGTATATGGGCTGAGTGCATGCAAAATCGTGCCCAAACAATTTTTGAACGATATATAAAATTTGTCTAAACTAAAGAGTTGAGGATTCGAATTTAAATGGAAGGAGTAAAACACACTAGTGTGTAGCCAACTTAACTAATATTGTTTATTTACAAAAGTAAAAATTAAAGAATATAAACATGATTTTTATTTTGTTGGAATGTAAATTTGGTTGGAATTTCCATTTAATAGTTATGTTAGGATAAAATTAAAGAGACAAAAGGACCGACATCTTTCAATGATCCTTTAGAGCAACTCCACCCATCGAGCCATTCCCCCTGGCAATCCACTATTGAATCCACCCTTTTGAATAGTAACTGCCTTTAATGAATAGTAACTGCCATAAATGAACAGTAATTGCCATTTGCATCTCCACCCTTGGAGCCCTCCCCCTGGCAATAGACAATTAAAATAATAGTTTTTTTTGTTTGTTTAAATAATACAAAATAAAATTATTTGTAATTTCGGATAAAAATTCTTAAATCGTTCTCGTTGCGTCACGTGTCATTTTATCAAAAAAAACAATTATTTAGCGAATGATTTCGATAAGATTTTTATCCAATGTTATCGTGTCATGTGTCGTTATCTTTTCAAAATCTTTGGTAAAAATAAATAATTTTTTATACATTAAAAATATTATAATATTAATCCAATTAAAAAAAATTAAAAATTAAAAAAAAAATTAAAAATAAAAAACAGAAACCCGAACCCAGATCCATTTCTTCCACCTCTCCTCCTACCCCCGAGAACCCCCTGCAAAAAACCAGAACCCAGCTACCTCCCCCCCCCCCGGCCGCCGCGACGACCCACCCCCCACCCCTTGCCCCCGCGACGACCCACCCTCCCCCCCCCGCGACGACCCACTTCCCTTCCGCACCCATGGAAGCCCAGCTCCGGTCCCCCCCTCTCTCTCTCTCTCTCACACACAAAACAAATCTCCGGTCCCCCTCTCTCTCTCTCTCTCTCTCTCTCTGACACAAAATAAAAAATAAAAAATTGCAAAGCCCTCGGGCCACAGGCCCGTCGACTCCCCACCCCCCCTTCGCTCGGGCTCCCACCGTCGCTCGGGCTCCACACGGCTGGAGCTCAGTCCACAGGGCCTCGGGCCCTTTCCTCTCCACTGTCCCCCGAGCAACCAGCAAGGCTGGAGTTGCTCTTATAGCTAGTCGCCCCAACAGAGTAATTTGGTAAAGGGGAAGTGCATTATTTTTCAATGTATTGTGAATTGTGACCACTATAAGCAGATTGTAGAACCCATAATAATTGTGATGTGCTTATACTATTTCCATACATATATTACAAATATATATGTTGATCTGATTAAATTATAAATTAGAACCCTATTGTGAATAATTATTTAGCTGTAACATTTATGTCAATTCATACGAACTTATCTATGGAGTTGCGTGTTGGTCGGTTGGCACCAAATGGCAAGAGAGGTTCATTCATTTCCCTCCTAGTAAGGCCAACTCATCCTAATTAAAGATCACAGAGAAATCAAACACAAGATTTCGGATGAAAAGTAATGATTCTTAACTACTTGAGTTATAAATTTCGTATTGCATTATATATATATATATATATATATATATATATATATATATATATATATGTAATGCAGGAGGATCGGATTCCTGTTTGTTTATTTCTGTGCCAGTGTTAGCTGCGTGAAAAATGCATCACTGGACTCCCCCATATTGCTGGTAACCATGTGATGGGCATGCACTGCAGTATTATTGTTGTTATTATCCAATCCAACTAGCTAATTACTAATTAAGTGGGGGCTCTGAAATTACCCGACCTCTCAACCCTAACTACTCAGTGGCTGGTGGGAAATAAGAAATGGTATAACTAATCATTTTGGACAAAAAATCTTTACTAATATTTGATTAACCAAGAGGTAATTAACTGATATTAACTTTACAAGTTAACAATCTGATTTATCAATTTTCCAACCAAAAAGAGCAGAATCTTTTTATTTTATTTTATGCATGCCAGCTTGCCCATATCTATATATGTATTCTTTAAATGAGGATCCTCTTTATGAGTATTCCGGAAATCCTTCAACCACGTCCATTCATCGTATATCGTGCAGTTAATTTTCGTCAAGTACTGTTTATATTCAATTTTAAATAAAAATTTAATAATAATTTATGACCGCACGATATACGATAAACGGATATGATTAAATGATCTCTGGGATCCTCACAAAGAGAATCCGAAGAAGATCCTCATTCGTGTTCTTTAACAACTCATTCTACATCACTTATTTCTTGACAACAAGTATTTTGTCTTCTGTCGAATATGAACATGTATATATAATAATACAGTGTTGTTCCTACGTATAATTTTGACAAAATTTATTCTTTCTTGTCCATTTTATACCAGATTAAGAATATATATGCAGAGACGAAGCTAGGATTTCAAACACATGATTGGGCTGAACTAATCATTTGTCCTAACTTTGTTAGCCAAGATTTCTTTTGTTGAATATAGTTATCGTGTTTCATAATTTGTTGAGAGTACTAATGCTTTAGAAATTACTATGCATTAGAAATTTACTACAACCTGAATGTATATGTGATGTTTCAGTAAGTATGCATTTGTGCGCTCGCGCACAGAGAGAGAGAGAGAGAGAGAGAGAGAGAGAGAGAGAGAGAGAGAGAGAGAGAGAGAGAGAGAGAGAGAGAGAGAGAGAGAGAGAGAGAGAGAGAGAGAGAGAGATTTGTCGATTGCAAAAAATAGAAGGCTATGATTTAGACCATCTTAAAAGGAGATGTCAAATCCTAAGTGGATTGTTATGTAATCAAAATTAAGGACATGAGTAAGCTCCAACTAATATGTTAATCTTCTGTGAATTGACATATGAGAAATGTGATGTCAAATAATTTTTAATTATTTTATTATGTGAATCTCATTAATGCACCAATTATAGATCTTGAAATTTTATTTTAAGTGAGTTCTTTTTTAAAATGAGTCCATCAAATATCATTTATAACAAAAAAAACATATCGATTGGAAAAAGAGATAATCTAACATTGTCACGTCAATCATCAAATTAACATTTATCTTTTGACATCTCCATTGAAAATGCTCTTAGAGCACTTCCAATGTAGGAAGACCCCCATGACAATTGGCAATTGAATCCCCTTCCATAGAATAATAACTGCCTTTAATGAACAGTAATTACCTTTTGCATCTCCACCCCCATACTGAATAGCCATGACAATAAGCAACAACATATTAGTATTTTTTATTTTATAAAATAATAAAAAAATAATTTTATTTGTAATTTTGGATATGATTTTTAATCGGTCTCGTTACGTCACGTGTCATTATACGAAAGTACAATTTGTTGTGATAGATTTCGATAAGCTTTTTATCCAACTTCATCGTGTCACGTGTCATTACCTTTTTAGAATAGTTGACAATAGATTTCCAATAAGATTTTTGACAAATCTCATCGCGCTACGTGTCACAATCTGTTTAGAATCTTTGAGGATAGATTTCGATAAGATTTTTAAACAAATCACGACGTGCCGCGTGACATTAACTACAACCTAATCATTTCTTTTTTCTCCATATAACCCACCATCCATCCTAAGAAATCACATACCAAAATCAAAATCTCTCAAAATCTTTATCCTTAGTTTTTATTTCCTTCTTACAATGTCTTCTTCAAGGATGTGGGAAATCGATGAGCAAAAGAAAGAATTGTTTAAGGAAGGGGAATAAATGTTCAATCTCTAGGAGGGAGAATGAGATGGAAGAGGAAGATGAGTGTAGAAAGTGAGATGACGAAGCAAGAAACCAAAGAACCTCACATTCCCGTCGAGTCATCCAAGATGTGGTTGAAATCTTCAGGCCCAAGCATTCTGCAAACATTGATAGAAGCAGGCAACGATGAGGTAATGATCACTTGGACAATTATTTTGTCTATATCAATGCATTCCCTAATACGTAATTTAGAGGTCGTTTTAGAATACGACACTCGTTCAACAAAATCATGATTGTTGTTTGCAACCATGATTCTTACTTTGTGCAAAAGAATGATGTTTTTGGTGTTATGAGTCTCATTTCTGGGCAAAAAATTACTGTTACATTACAGATGCTTACCAAGTAGATAAGATAGCAAGGATGGGGAAATCATCCTCCAATGCAATAGTATTTGGTGTACTAAATATATTTGGCTGAATACTAGTAAAAAACCATGCACACCACGTGGATTTTGCATCTTGTTTGTGTCTGCGCCACCACAAATGTCATCTTTCCACATATGAACCTGTGTGTACAAGTTAAGCCCAACAACGACTCTGCTAATTTTAACATAGCTCACTCAGTATACATAGTTATTAGCAACTAATTAACCACGAGTGTCCCCTACTGAACCAAATGTATTCCCACCATTTCAACACAACATCATTAATTTCCCTTTGTCCATCTAACTTAGCTCATTTCAACACATCATTATAAATCGTTTAGGGTCTCAAGCCGCAAGTGGCGTTTTGGAACTGATGGTTAAAGATAATGTCAATGTAGCATTTACTGCATGTAAGATTACCCTCTTAATGGAAGCATTGTTGGACACTTATACATGAGGGGTGCTATTGGTTCGACATTTGAACTCGGATGAGATTGAATTGCTTTTTGAAGCAAATGTCCTCAACCTGCATTGGGTATACCATGAGTTGCTCACAAAATTGCAAGAACAAAGTGTGTTCCTTATTTATAAAATTAAATTTGTGTTAGCACACGCGATCATGAATTGGGCAGAGTAATTTTGGGTTGCTTTAATTTCATTACTATTGTTATTTGTAGAAGTTAACCGAACTTATGTTTTTTTTCTGTGACAGGACATAGGGAAGGGAATGAGTGACTCATTGGTGGCTCTAGGCCACCCTCTCATTGAGCTGATGGGAGGTTTCTACACACAGAAGGTCACCTTTAAAACCAAATGGGTTGTTTCGTTGGTTTTCGAAGGAGCACAAAGAGTCACAGTTCTCCCAATTTTTGCTCGATCAGTTGAAGATGTAAGAAACTTTGTGGTTAATGGTACATTGTTTCATGTATGTTTGACAAGAAAGGAAGACTTGGAGAACTTCGTGGTCGGGGGTTTAATTACCACGAAGTTTTCCAAGACTTCCTTCCTTGTCAAACATATATGAAACAGTGCACCATTAACCACAAAACTTCTCATACCTTCAACCGATTAAGAAAAAATTGGGAGTACTGTGACTTTTTGTCCTCCTTTGAAAGCCAACGAAACTACCCATTTGGTTTTAAAAGTAACCTTCTACGTATAGAAACCCCCATTCGGCTCAATGAAAGGGTGACATAGAACCAATGGGTCACTTGTTCCTTTTCCCATGCCCCTGACACAAGGAAAAAAAAAAACAAGGCTCGGTTAATTTCTACAAATAACAATAGTAATGAAATTAAATCAACCCAAAATCACTTATTTACTCTGCCTAATTCCTAATCGCATGTGCTAACACAGATTCAATTTTATAGATAAGGAACACGCATTGTTCTTACAATTTTGTAAGCAATTCATAGTATACCCAATGCAAGTCGAGAACATTTGCTTCAAGAAGCAATTCAATTCCATCCGAGCTCAAATGTCAAACCAATAGCACCCCCTGCACAAGTGTCCAACAATGCTCCCGTTAGCAATCTTGCAGGCAGTAAATGCCACAGTGAAATTGACATTATCTTTAACCATCAGTTCCAAAGCGCCACTTGCGGCTTTAGACCCTGAACCATTTATAATGATGCGTTGAAATGAGCTGTGTTTCACATTGGTGGCAAGTTAGATGGGCAATCTGATTGCATCATACATAATTGTAAGATCTACTTTTTGACGAGGGAGGAACTCTTCATCCATGGTGATGTTTGTTTTAAATTTTGTGTCTACAGTGCAACAGACACTTGCATTTCATGGGTCCCAACATTACCAGAGCAGTGTAAGAGTGTGCTGATTAACATGGGTTATAAAAGTCGAAAATGAAAACCCAACTTACGGTAAAAACTCAAATGTATGTTACCGTGGTAAAATCTTGTTATTATAAACAAGTTGGTCTACATAAAAGAATATCCTTAAACCGACTGTCTAATAATATGAAGGAAACATGGAAACCAATGATCTCAGTACAACCAAAAGAAAAACGAAAGATATACCCTAATGTTATAGCATTTTTTTCTCTGTATATCTTTTCCTCGCATATATCCACTACCATTGTCTTCCAAAAACGAAAAAACTAACATGGAAGACATCTTGTTCTCTGTTGTAACTACGACGACCCCAAGACTAACAAAGCTCCTAGTGACTGAAGGCAAGTCAACAGCTTTGAGGCAGTTTGCATACAGATGCATATCCTAATGAGACTCATACGGTCCACCTCGTACTGAATTAAATTGTTCAATAAACCACTATACACAATCCAAATACCAAGCATTCTCTCATCAAATTCAACTGATTCTATACTGTTATAGAATAAACATTCAAAACATGATTGGATACTTCATATATATAAGCCATCAAAAGTATTCAATTCACGTTTCTCAAAAGAAAAAAAATAATAAAAATAATAAAAACTCAATTCTCAACACCTAAATTAGATCTGCGGCTATGAAAAGTATTCACTTCACAACAGTTAAATTAGATCTGCTTACTCCAGATCAAAGACCATCAAACAGCAACATCCAAAAAATGTACCAAAAGAAAACAAATCCAAATTACCCAAATGAAGTTTAAGAGCTCACCTTGCATTGCAGCCGCTGGGCAGACGAACCCATCATTGGCCAAAGTAAGATTGGAAGGCATGGGAACTTTGGGTGGGGCCACACCGAACTGGGTCCCGGTCAATTTGACCTGAACCTGCATCTGGGTCAAGTCCCCCGCCGTCTTAACCGCCGTTTTCAGATCGGTCATCGGATACCCAGCAAAGACGGTGCCGTTTCCCACACTCCCAGGAATGCTACCCCCGTCGGCCAAACCGGTATTGGAGGCAGAGACCAAGTACTCATTGTTAGTAAACCCCACAAACCCTCCACGACTTGAGATCGTCGAGTCCGTTGTTGAGCACCGACTCGAACCGGTAGGGCTGCTGGGACGGGTCTTTGACCTCGGGCTCCGGTGGTGTAGGCGTACGGCAGGAAGTCGCCGTTGCAGGAATCGGAGGCCGGCGACGGAGCTTGGGCGGTGGATTGGGCGAGTGAGAAGGAGAGGATCGTGAAAATATGGAGAAGATTGAGGACCAAGATCGGAGGCCTGTTCCTGGAGCTCGAGTCCATGGCTTTTGGGATCTTTAGGGTGTGTTTGTTTCACTTCACCAAGTTTCACTAGATTAATAGTTAGTGAAATCCTGTGTTTGTTACACACAGGGACTAACTTTAATGAGATAAAGTGGGACTCGCTAGACTAAGTCCCTCACTAAGGGCACGTTTGTTACACCTCCTTAGGAGGGATTGGCTTGGACTACCGTAAGTAGGACTATAATCCTACGTTTGGTAGGTTGTGGGACTAAAATAAATGGGACTCGCCTCGACTACGAGTCCCTGCGAGGCGTGCTAGCCGGTCTTCACCAGTCCCCCCTAAAAACCACGGGATTAGCTAGGAACTTCGCTTCGTTCTGCTTGATTCACCTCATCGACCTCGATTTCGACGACATCTCTCTTCGTCCTGCTTGATTCACCTCCCTGCGAGCCCTTCTGTGAGTTCTGGGCTTCTTCCTCCTCCCTGCAAGGGTTCTTCCACCACCAACATCAACCACAAAAAATCCCCCATCTCATATTTCCCACCACCAACCATCACCCACAAAAAATCCCCAATCCCATATTTCCTGCCGCCACCATCGCCATGGACGAGCCATCCGAGAAGCTCCAGAACCTCAAGTCGCTGAATTCTCTGCCAGCAGCAGGTGGAGTTGCTGGTGCGGCAAGGCAGATTTAGGTGGACAAAAAAAAGAGAGAGGAAGATGAAATGGTAGAGAAAGAGGAGAGGGGAGGGATGCAACGTGCGGAAAAAAAGAGAGAGAGGAAGATGTTCTGGGAAGGAGATGAAATGGCAGAGAAAAGGAGAGGGGAGGGCTGGCGGACAAAAGAAGATAAAAGGAAAATGATAATTTAATAATAAAATATTAATATATATAGATTAAATTAATGATAAAATATTGTAAATATAAATTTAATAATAAAATATATTAGTCCTGCTTTTTAATCCGACACTGCACCAAACGCTTCACTAAATCAGTCCAGCTTAGTCTAATCTAAGCCAGTCCAGCTTAGTCCCTGAAGCTAGTCCAGTCTGAGATAGTCCGGTGCAACAAACGTACCCTAAAGGTTCTTAACGAGTCCCTTCAGAAACCACCGGATTGCTAAGACCATCTGCTTTCCTTTGTTTCGTCTCGCTGCTACGCACTTCGAGCTCGCAGTCAAAGCAGTGCTCGTATGGGAGAAGAAGTTGCGAACAAGTTTTGAGAGGAAAAATGGAAGACTGAAATGGGCAGAATGCTTCGCCAAAATCACAGAGAAAATTATGGCGGTGTTCTTCCGATTTGGCGAAGGCGTTATCAAGGATATTGGATCTGGGAATTTTGAGGTGGCCAGGCTTGTGAGGAAGAAAGAAATGAAAAAGCTTGAATTTCAGAGGTTACAGGCCATTGATGGACCCAAAAAATAAGGGATTTAAAAGAGAACTTTATTTTTGGGAAAAATAAGTGAGATTTTAAAGGAGAGAGTGGAGAGATGCAGTTCATCTGAAACTTGTAAGTGAAAATATCTGGAACGAATTTTAATGGGAATGGGACTTTAATGGGGTTGGTGGAGTTGGTGGAGACTGGAAGGGACCTTCTGCAACTCTCTTGAAAGGGGATTCCATTGGGTTGGTGGAAGATGTGTTGAGAGCAACTCCGGTGTAGGAGTCCTCCCCCCAGGCTATTCACTATTTAATCCACCCAATAAACAGTAACCGCCTTTAATAAATAGTGCATTCTCCTGGCAATTGTCTTTTGAATCTCCACCCCTGCACTGAATAGCCGGGGCAATTGGCAATAAAATATTAGTATTTTTTTTATTTATAAAATAATACAAAATCATTTTTAATTGTTTTCCTTTTTCTTTTTTCCTATTCCTTTTCCATTTCATTTTTCCAAACTCAACCGACAACCATTCTCTCATTTTTTTCCAGAACACTCTTCATGTTTCCTAGCCCTCTGTCTCTCATCTATCTCTCTCTCTCTCTCTCTCTCTCTCTCTCTCTACGACGCAACCCCCCTCATTTCTGAAACCTCTCTCTCTCTTTAATCTCTCTCATTCTCTTGCATGCATCATCAGATCACAATTTTGGTGCCGAAATCGCATGCTCCGAATCTTCCGTTAGCTCCTTCTCCTCCTCCACCGTGACCACCGCTGGTGCTGGAGAGGATGGGGATAGTGGACGAGATCGGCGAGATGTTGGAGGAGTTCGAGGCTCGACAGAAAAAAAAAAACATTAAAACAGGCGTCTGACGTCAGCTAACGTCAGACCCACCTCAGGCTCTCGAGCCGGCGAGAATCGACGGGCCTGGCGCTCGGGGGTGCTCGGGCTCCCTCGCCAGCCAACGCTGGACTTCCTCCCTCGGGCAATCAAGCCCTGTTCCGGAGCCTGTCCCTCGAGCAGGAGCTCCCGCTGGAGCTGCTCTGAATGAAGAGAAAATATCTTGATTCAAAATAATAAAATATTAAAAAAATGATTAAAAAGTAACAAAAAATAGTATATACATTTAAAAATAAGTTAGTTTATGATTTAGTTCGACATTGCACCAAATGTTTTATTATTTTTATACTATTTAGTCCACGACAAGTCAATTCAACTTAATTCTTAAAGTTAATCCAGTTCGAAATAATTCAGTACGACAATCGCGAGGACACAAAAGATTAGGTTTTTGAATTTGGAGGATAGATGGAGAGAGAGTGTTTATATATGTGACTTTCTGCGTGTGCTTGACTTTCAATCATGTAATGTAAATACAGCTTAGTAGAAGCTGTATATTATATTATGAACTTTTTTTTTTAATAAATATTTAAATTGTTGTTTGATGCAGTCGTTCGGTTTTGGCGTGGTCGACTGATTCAGAGAAGGTTCATGGATTTGGAAATCTTTGAAAGCAAAAGGCAAGAAATGCGTTTTTAAGAAATAGTAACGGTTGGACTCCTAATTTGAATGTGGTAAAGGGTCCTTTGTCTTTGTCTCAACTAGGGCTGGGCAAACGGGTCCTGGACCCGCGGGTAGGGCGGGTAATACGGGTACGGGCTGGGTACGGGCCGGTTCTTAGTTTTGTAAAAATAGAAAGGGGCGGGGCGGGGTGGGTAATTTAAGTTTTAGGGGCGGGCCGGTTCCAAAATTATAGGATCCGCGGGTACCCGGACCGGCCCGTTTGTGTTAGATTGGACGGACGAGATTTAATATCATCTCTCCATCCAATCTCAACCGTCGGTTTAAGTTTTCAACTTTCAACCCTAGCCAACTTCCCTGTGTCCCGAGTTCCAGAAGCATCCAACCTCAGCAGCCTTAGACCTCAGTCTCTCGGATTCTCAAAGACTCTCCTTCCTCGACTTCCTCTCCCTGAGTCCCTCTCCCTATCCCTCTCCCTCGAATCCCTCTCCCTATCCCTTCCCTCGACTCCGACTCACAGTGCTCACCCCACCACTCTCACAGCGCTGTCGCGAGTCGCGACCAACATCATCACCCCCCATCACCACCTCCGCCGTCGCAACCACCATCATCACCCCATCACCACCGTCGAGGACACTGCTACTACTAATACCAAGGCAAGTACCAACCATCATCCCTCTAAATTTACTATTAATATGAATTTCTGGTGTAGGGATTTTTAGGGGTTTTAAGTTAGAATTTGTAGATCGATGATTGAGCTATAAAAAAATATTCTCAAAGATCTTGTTTTTGGGTCTCCACAATGCCGGAAAAACGATGTTGCTTCATATGCTCAAAGATGAGGTTTTTCTTTCAATCTCATCCTTTTAATCGGACTTTCTCTAAATTTGTTGGTGGGTTTTTGGTCCTTTCGAATTCGGTGAAATTTGGGAATTTTCAATGCTTCAATGGTGTTTTTAATTGGTATTTGGTTTATGCTGAAATTTTCGTTTTTGTTTTACATTTAATCAATTCGGGGTCTGTTTGGTTGATGAGAAAGTGAAGAAAAAGAAAATATGGGCTGAAGGAACAGTTTTTTTGAGAGTGTAGTTTTTAATTGTGCAATTGAAAATCTTTGTTCTTTTCTTTTGTGTAATTCCTATGGGTTTTTTTTTTCATTAGATTTTCTGCTCCCAATCCAATATAAGTATTGAGTTTAAAGATGCTATTGAATCACTCAAGTTTTAATATCAGGAAGAAGAAGAAGAAATGAATAAAGCAATTTGCTCTTGGAATTGTTTTGATTCTGTTTGATAATTACTTGATTAGCATAGAATTTAGTTTTCTGCTTCTGGGTTTTGTTGATGATGCATTGTTGCAGAGGTTAGTTCAACACCAGCCGAGAGTTGAGCATTGGTAAAATCAAGTTCAAGGCTTTTGATTTGGGTGGACATCTCAGATACTCATCTCAGATATCTATCTTATTCAATAGTTTTGTCGTAGTTCATTCGAAATAACTGAATGGGTTCACAAAGGACGCACTGCTGTGTAAGATGATTTAACCTTTCCTTTGTTGTTCTTTATTTACTTTTTGGTCATGCCTAGTAAGCTATGAGCTATACCATGTACATACATTAGACTTGAATTTTGTTTGACTGTAAACGATGTATCATGCATCCCCATAAAGAGTGTATTGTCATCAAGTTAATTTATAGCAGTAAAGTCTGTCATATGTGCTCAATAAATGCGTTTTGGAATTTCATTGTATCTAGATACTCTTTGTTGATGATCTTTATACATATCTGGGAGCAGCCACATCCTTTATTCCTTTTTCCTTTTCAACTCTACCTGGAGCAGAAGGTTTAAAACTGCATTAAATTGCAATCACTATGTTAGTTTGGTTAGATTGTGAATTGTTCATTTTTTCCGTTTTCCTGGGATAAATTGAAAACTGAAATGCGAGGCCACTGCTATATCTTAGTCATAATCGAAGCCAACTTCTTGGTTCTTGCTGGTATTTGCTTAGATTTCACATGAGTAACGGTTTAATCACTATGTTAGATGGCGTCCTGTTTTCTTCAAACTTGTATGATTTTCCTTGCTGTTTGCAAAATGCTGTTTCAATGATACGTTGCTAAAACTACCTTATTGGTCCTTGGGCCCCTTATTTAAAAATGGCATCATTGTTGCACAACTTCCTCAACGGCCTTTGTTAGAGAACCTTGCAAGGGAGCTCCGCCAACGATTGGTAACCTCTCTCTCTCTCTCTCGTTGTGCAATGGTAGAAGTTAAGAATCGACTTTTTCTAGGGCCTTCGGCTATTCAATGTTGATATGATTCGAGAGCATGGGACAAAGGATGTTTTTTATGTCATTGACATAAACTACTTTATGATAAAATCACTAGGTACAAAACATTTATATAGTAAAAACAGATTGCAATCTGCACAAACTGCACTGCACAGATTGCAATCTGCACAACAGACTGCACTGCACTGCACATATTGCAATCTGCACAATCTGCACAAACTGCACTGCACTGCACAGATTGCAATCTGCACAAACTGCACTGCACAGATTGCAATCTGCACAACAAACTGCACTACACTGCACATATTGCAATGTGCACAATCTGCACAAACTGCACTGCACTGCACTGCACAGATTGCAATCTGCACAAACTGCACTGCACTGATTGCAAACTGCACAAACTGCACAGATTGCAAACTGCACTGCACAGATTTGCACAGATTGCAACTGCACAGTCACACACTGCACAAATTAATAACATGATGATACTTCTCAGCCTTTTTGGTCTTTTGTCGGTCAACAATCTGTGTGTTGTGTGTTCACTCTGTTTAATTGTGCTACCTGCTTCTGTTTCCCATCCCAGAGAGTAATTATTTTGAAATATCTTTATTTGATTAATGAATATAGTTCCATTATTTGATTTTTGCAGATTTTTACATAATGTCTCAATCTCAAAGTCAAAGTACCCCTAGTAGTACTAATGTAGCATCATCTACGGCTACATCACCATGTCCGCCACAACCAACACAAGAATAACCCATACAGTCAAAACCATCAATGCCTCCCCCAAACCCCTCATCCTCTAGAAAAAGAAAAGCACCACCTATTACAAAGACAAAACAACCAACTATAATAGCTTCACTAGAGAGATCTTCTTCTGAGAGATCTTGGGTTTGGGATCATTTCACTAAGTGTACGGTCTCGGAAATGCAAGAAGTAGAAAAGGATGGAAAGAAAGAGAAGGGGGAGGTACAAGTATTGAAGGCTACGTGTAACCATTGTAACTCTTTTTTTGCATGTGATACTAGTGGGGGTGGAACTAGTACTTACATTAAACATCTCAATAAACATTGCAAGTCATATAAACCAACTGATGAGTTGCAAAAAGGTTCTAGGCAGTTCTGGACCTTCTGGGGATGGGAATGTCAAAAACATGCTTGTTGCTAAAGGGTGGAGCCAAGAAGAAAGTGTGGAAGGTATTATTGAGTTTATTGTGCTCGAAGAGATACCTTTTTAGTATTGTGGAGAGTGAAGGGTTTAGGCGGATGATGTGCAAAGTCCAGCCTAGATTGCATGTTCCATCTCGGAGAACTATGATGAGGGAGTTATTCAATATGTATGATAGCATGAAAGATCAGTTAAAAAAGGAGATACACAATCATAGAGTGAGCTTGACTACTGATACATGGACAAGTGTGCAAAACTTGAACTACATGGTGCTAACTGCTCATTTTGTGGATGATGATTGGAATATGCACAAAAGGATTCTAAATTTTTGTTTGATTTCAAGTCATCAAGGCAAAGAAATAGGGAAGATGATTGAGCAATGTTTGGTTGAGTGGGGGATTGAAAAGGTAATGTGCATCTCAGTTGACAATGCATCGGCTAATAAGGTGGCAATTGAGTATGTTGTTCGTAAAATGCAGAAATGGCCTAATAGTAAAATGATTATGAATGGCAAGTTTATGCATGTGAGGTGCTTAGCTCATATTATCAACTTAGTAGTGAAACATGGGTTGAAAAGGTTAGATACAAGTGTGGATGCTTTTAGAAATGCCGTGCGGTTTGTGAGGTCAAGTCCTCGAAGGTTAAGTTATTTCAAGAAATGTGTGGAGAGTGAGAAGTTGGATAGTAGGGGTCTAGTTGTTATGGATGTGCCTACTAGGTGGAATAGCACATACATGATGCTAGAATCTTGCTTGAAGTTTCAAAAAGCATTTGAAAGGATGATCGAAGATGATGAAGCCAATATATACACCACCTATTTCAGTGAAAAGGTGCTTAATGATGAAGGAGAAGAAGAGTGGCGGGTAAAGGGAGGGTTGGACCACCTAAGGAGGAAGATTGGGATAGTGCAGAAGTGTTTGTGAAATTTTTGAAGGCTTTCTATCTTATAACTTTGAAAGTTAGTGCAAGTAAGTATCCCACATCTAATACAGCTGTTCATGATGTCATTGTTGTGGAAAACGAGATTGAAAAGCTTTTTTTGCCTGAATATATGCAAACTGGAAAACCGGTAGAGTTGGTGCTACGTGATATGGCATTCAACATGAGAGCCAAATATCGAAAGTATTTTGGTTCAATTGAGTCCCTTAACCAAATATTTGTAGTTGCCCTTGTCTTAGACCCAAGGTTCAAATTGAGGCACTACATGCACTTGTGCCGAAAGCAGTTACAACTTCCTGAAGAAGAGATTGAACAGAAAAGTAATGAAGTGAAGACATTGTTGAAGGCGATGTGTGATGAATATGCTTTCCAAGTTTTCGGTTCACAAACACAACAAAAGGGTAGAGAAGATTTAGTTCTTGACACTTCTTCTTCAAGGGTAAAACAATCATCTTCTAGTGTGCCAACGGAAAATCCAATGATATTTAGTCAAATCATGGATGATTGGGAGAAGGAACTAGAAGACACCGAGGATATTGTGCTTGCACATGAGGTGGATAGGTATCTCCTCGACACTGTAGAGAAAGTACCACAAGGTTCACAATTTGACGTTTTGAAATGGTGGAAGTTGAAGGGGATGAGCACATATCCCACACTTGCTTTGATAGCGAAAGATGTCTTGCCAATTCAAGTGTCAACAGTTGCCAGTGAGAGTGCATTTAGTGCAGGAAAAAGAGTAATTCACCCTTGTAGATCATGTCTCCTTCCTCAAACAGTGGAGTCATTGATGTGCCTCCGAAATTGGATAAGAAGTGAGCTTTGTTTCATTCAGTGCATTTTTTCTTTTATTTATTTATTTATATACACATTTTTTTTCATATATATATATATTTTTTTATTTTATTTTCACATGGTACCTCTACCATCATCCCTTTTTTTTTTATATCTGCTTTCGGTGGTGCTCACCCCACCACCACTAACTAGATGATGGCCACCATAATCATACCATACCATGACCCTTTTATTTTTTTAATATTATATCTACTTTTTTTTCTTTATTTACGGTGCTCTGCAAGGCTGGATTTGTGGGTGAAAACCTAGGCCGAGTCCGAGAGACAGAGGTGCAGATGCAGTAGAGGATCTTCAACAACCATGTAGGGTCTGGCCTTGATGATGAAGAAGAGAAGGATGAGGGTGACCTTGATGTCGGATCCAGCTAGGACCCGGAGCACAGTCGGGTTAGAATCAAGCTTGAAGCTGGGAGCGGAGCATAAAGCTCACGTGCTTGATAGTCGCTGCGGTGGAGGAGCAACATGTAGGCTTGAACTTGGTGCAACGGTGGTAGTTGCCCTTCATCTTCAGACAAAAGACCTTGTACTTACTGGCCAACGCAGACGGCGCGAGATTGGGATCCAGAAGCTTCAAGATACTGGCACAGACATTGGAAAGCTCAGAGTCGACCTTGGATCTGACGAACGCCACGTGTTCCTCTTTCTTCCGACCTTCCTTTTTCTGCTTCATCGATGACACGATGCGCCATGCAGGCAGCACGAAGCAAGGAGGATGCAGAGCTGGTGGCGACCGAGGGAAGACGAGGGAGTGGACGGATGAGGACAGGGCAGTTGTGACGGACAGAGAGGCCATGGCAGGACCTCGATGAGCTTTAATATACTGGTGCAGGTACTGCTGAGGTGATCTTGACAAGAAAAGCATGAAAAGGGCGTCGAGCACCATGGGCCCGCAATCCTTGAGGTTGATCTCGTACTCCTTGAGCTCCTGTTCAAACATGACGGGGCAACCTTGCTTTGCAGCGTCACTTTCATCATCCTTCACATCGGAGAAACCTCACGACAATGACAGGACAGACGCAGTGGAACACACAGTAGTGATTGACACTGCCGAGCCTGGCTTTGAAGGTTCGCTTTGAAGCAATGAGTTCGCCCATCGAGTTACGGCCTAGTTGAGGGCTATTTGGCGACCGTGATGGTGACTCAGATGACGGAGATAATGAAGGGGAGGTTGCGGTGGCTTTCATGGCTGAGATGAATGAGGGAAGAGTGATGGCTCGAGAGAGAGACTTGGGCCTAAATTTGGGCTAGTGGAATCCGGTGCATCGAGCGAGCTGGGGAT